TAGTAGCGAGTAGCACTGTAGGGTAAAGAAAATGTCAGGCTTTTCTGCCCTTCCGCCATCAGGATAGATGATGGATCCTTGTCCTGAATGCATGCCTGATGGCGGGCACCTGGAATAGGGTGTGGGCATAGGTAGATGGGATACACCTGCGCTAAGACTGTGCTTTTAAGGGCGGCGTCATGGGGACGCCAGCAGAAGCCGAAGCAGAGAAAGCAGCAGTAGAAGCTGAAGCAGAAGCCGAAAGAGAAGCCAAGAAGCAGCAGAACGAACGCTAGAGAGCCCAAATAGAACGCTAGAGGCCTACCAGCCTCCCAGCCCCCCAGCCAGCACCCCTGCCTGCCATATGCCTGGTGAACCCCAATAAAAAAACCTGCAAAACTACTGAGGACTCTTACTCCTCCTTTACCCAGTCTGCATGGGATCAGAAAACCTGCACTGTGTCCTGTCCTGCCCTTACAAGCACCAAGCTGGGAGGGCAGCAGAGTCAGTACTCAGAGAAGGCTGCCTCCCAGAGGGGCAAGTGAAAGGATACTATGGAGGAGGAAAGGGAACGTGGGAACAAGCAGGAGTGGGGCGGGTTTTCTCTCTCAAGGAGAGAAGGTGCAGGGCAGTCTCGGAGCTGCCTAGAGAAGGATTTCAATCCTTTACAGGAGAGGGCTGAAAATATTTCTGGTGATGTGTCTCTTCTGTGTTATCAGTTAAAACCACCCTCACGTGCCCCTCAGGCACATTTTATCAGCATCATCAGAGACAACAGAAGTATCTCCTTAAGGATCACACAACCATGCTGGCTGCTAAGGCAAGGGTCATAATCCCAATCAGGCCTCATCACAGAGGTATCTATAAACAACTAAATCAGGTATTTCTTTGCACCTAAAACCCAAATTTTTCTCAGGAATCAGCAGAGGTTTATTTCTGTTGGCACTATCATCCCAGAGAGAAATAGAGACTTGTATTAGGAATGTAATAATCAATTTTCCAAGTTACCAGGAATGAGGGTATAGCGATTTATGATGAGTCCTAAGAAGGAATGAGGGGTGCAATTCAGTGAGTTAGTCCTTAAGAGGGAATGAAATTCAGGGCTTCCTAGTGGCCTAGGGGTTAACTCTCAGCAGTATCACCCCTGTGCCAAGAGGCTAACCGAAAAGACACAGCAGACCACTCTGTCTCGCCCAATGCTCCCCTCAGCAGTGTATTTCAGCACTGGCCTGTCCAGACCTCACTCTGTCTCTGGTGAATCCTCTCACCACCACCCCCCCTCCCCCCCACACCTCTGGCCTACATGTCAGATCTTGTATGCATAAATAAATAAATCTTTAAAAAAAAAATTTGGTTCTGGCGGCACAGCGGCTAAAGTCTCAGAACTATTGCCACCCACTGTGGCATGAGTTAGATCCTCGGCCAGGGAGCTGACCCACATGGCACAGCAGACCTCTCTCTCCTATCTCACCAGTTGCTCCCCTCATCAGTCTATTTCAGCATCTCCGCCTGTTCTGCTTCCCGCTCTGTCTCTGGTGAATCCTCCCACCCTCTTCACCTATAGCCTACATCTCAGTTGTTGTACGCATAAATAAAAAATAATTCTTAAAAAAAATTGGTTCTGGGGCCTCCCCTGGTGGCGCAGGCGGTTGAGCTCCACACTGTGAGATTGTCCACAGCCTCTGCAGCGCCGGTTCAATCCCGGCCGGCTGGCGAGGGTCCCACATGGTGTGGCAGACCTCTCCTGTTGCGCCCGCTGCTCCCCTCAGCGGTGTGTTTCCTCAGTCTGCCTGTTCTGCTCCCCGCTCTGTCTCTGGTGAATCCTCTCACCCTCCTGTGCATCTGGACTGTACCCCGGCTCTTGTATAAAAATAAAATCTTTTAAAAAAATTGGTTCTGGGGTGCAGAATGCGCAGACACCACCCACCCCTACATATCCCTCCAATCTTAATGCCCAAAGTCATATACGTTTCCTCTCCAGCCTTTCTTGGGTGAAATTCTCAGGAACATGTATCTACAGCACCTTCTGTCAAGTGCCAGACTGCCCCTGCTCACTACTCCAAAACTCCTAAGGTTTGTAAATGCCTTGGAGCATTTACAAACTTCCCGAAATTTGAAACCACCCACTTTAGCCCTTGGTCACTGACCATTCTAGATATGTCCAGAGATACTCTAGACTGTGGAAGTGACCCTGCCCCACAGCCCAGGGAAGGTGCTGTAACTCCAGCTCCCAGGCACCAGGCACACCTTCAACAGCCCTGTCCTTGCCGCCTGACTGAGGGGGGCTCCGGAAGGGCAACAGGGCAAGGCTGAGAACTGCCTGGTTCAGAGTAGAAAAAGAAATCAAGGATGCCCTGTGAGGAGGCAGGATCTTCCCCTAGAGCTGCTCCTTCTGCCTCCAAGGGCTTGCTAATCCGGTGGTAGTAGAGCATTCCCCACTGTTCCCGCAGCTCAGTCCTGCTGGCCTGTGGCTGCAGGTCTTGCCTGAGGGCCAGAGGAGCATGAGGGCAGCTGTGGCTGACCCTGGCCCCCATCACAAGCAGCCTGGAGAGCTGCTAACACCCACTGAGATGCTGGAAGAGGCTTAACCAGAGGTTGCCCCTCCCTCTTCCCAGTTTGTCCTCCAGGGTCCTCCACCAGCTGGCCTCTGAACCCCAGCATAACCATACAATAAAATATTATTCAGTCATAAAAAGTATGGGGTCTGATACAGGCTACCACAATGATAACATATACTAATGAAACATACTAACTGAAATAAGCCACACACACACACACACACACACACACACTAGTATTATATGGTTTCCATTGTGTGAAATAGGCACATTCACAGGAACCAAGAAGGTTAGAGGTAACGAGGGAGAAGGGAGGGGGAAAGAGAAATTACTATTGAATAGGTACACTTTCTGTTTGGTGAGGAAAATGACTTGGCAGTAGACACTGTGGAGGCTGTGAGTATAGTTAAAGTGACTACTTGTTCTCCTAAAGAGAGTTAAAATAGTAAATATTTTACGTCTACTTTACTTTTATAGTTTTTCAACCCAAAATTGCTTATTGTGAATCAGAATAAAAGAACATTTCATTCTGGTGAGAGGTATGTTATTCTGATTAGGCTGAGTAGTTGTTAACAAATCTAGCGCAAATTACCAGATAAGTGCCACATCATTTCTTCAAGATTGATTTTTCAATGACTACAAATTTCAGTTCTTCAAAGTGAAGCTGGTCAACCTTTGCAGTTCTCCTTCCAGTTCAACCTGATATTATTCTCTCACCTTGTCCAGAAAGAGCTTCTGTCCAGGATCAAGTGCCTTATGAAATGTCACTGCTCCTGCAATGGTCTGAGACTGCAGACTCCATGAGTGAGGAGGCTGAAGAATTTTGTCCAAAGTCCACCCTGCTTCCCACCACTCCGAAGCCAAACACAGAGTAGAGCTGGCATCAGGAGACCTAGGTGGACTCTGAAAACTGGTATATCTAAGAGATGGGCTCCACCTCTAAAGAAACCACCTCAAGTCTTGAGTTCGAGTAGGGATTTTCTGAGGGCATCTTGAGGAAAAGCTGCTGTTCACTGCTTCTGCAAGACTGCTCATGTCCTGGGGTTATCTCTAGTCCTTGTTGACAAGCTCCTCTTGTGGTGCCTGGGATGGAACAGGTGGTCTGGGTGGTATCTCCATGACTCATCCTCCTAAAGAAAATCAGCAGGGAATGCTGGCAGTGTGCTGAAGGCCTAGGGGAGGTCTATGCTGATGACCTAAGGACACAACTTAGTGTTCTGAAGGTTGCTGTAACGGACAGTGACACAGAGGCCTTGTTTCTATGTTGACATTTTCACCCTTTCAGAATCATAGAGAGTCTGTCACTTGCACCCAACTGGAAGCCAGAATGGAAGTCCAAAGGGGCCAGGCCAATCTACTCCTCTCATTCTGCCATGGAGCTTTCAATATAATAAAGTTCTTGGATACTCATCCAAGATCACATAAATAGAAAGAGACCAGGTGAGAATTGGAACCCAAGCCTCTCAGACTCTAGGGCTCATGCTCTCAACCCCTGGGCTCCACTGCCTATGGAGACAGCAGCAAACCAGGAGTTAGGACACCTGGCTTCTTGCTGTCGTTATCTTGTAGGACCTTCTATAAGCCTTACCTTTAAGGGCCATACTTTCTCTACCTGTTAAATAATAAAATTGGATAAAATGTCTCTGACAGTCTCTGTTGGCTATAACACTCAAAAATGTCATCTGTCCAGTGATTTTGATTTTTCAAACATGTAAAGTCCCAAACCTGATTCCTGACCAAGATAATACCTGCTTCTGGACAACTTGGGGACATTGACAAAGGAGGAGCTCCAAGAGGGAGCTAGACTCTACCTACTCTGTACCGTAGACTTGAACCACTGCTGAGAAGGTGTTACTAATCAAAGCAGGTCATATCCCTGGTGATCAGAAGCCAGACTCTGAACCACAAGTTTATTCCCAGCAAAGAGGTGCTTTATTAGCAAGTGGCACTAAGTCAGGAGGCAGCAGAGTCAGTACTTGGAAGACTTCCTCCCTGAACAGCAAGTGAAGAGAGACTATGAAGGAGAAAAAGGGTGTGGGAACATGCAGGAATGGGACGGGTTCTTCTCTCTCAAGTAGAGAAGATGCCAAGTAGTCTAGGGGCCGTAGATCAGAAGAGGATTGAAAGTACTTCTGGTGGTGTCTCTCCTTCTATGTTATCAATTAAAATCTTGGTACTCCTCAGGCACTGATGTTATCAGCATTCTTGGAAGCAAGAGAAGTATTTCCCTAAGTATCACGCAACCATAAGGGCGCTGTTATGTCTTCTAAGGCAGGGGTCATATTACTTGTTCAGAACAGGTCACACTGGTATCGATTGCCCCTCCCCTCCCTGTCTGGGTGAGGCTTAAGGTATCTCTGCTTCAGTTTAAACTTCCACATGGTAAGACATCATAAACACCCAGGTCAGACCCCACCCTTTAAAAGGCCTCCATGCTCCCTAAGTGGCTCTTTCAACCACAGTGCCTGCCCCATCTGCCACCATGTGGGAGCTCCTCACTCTCTTGATGTTGATCCTGACTTATTTCTTCTGGCCCAAGGGGAAGTGCCTTGTTGTCAAGTACCCCAACAGCCTCCCAGCCCTGCCCTTGGTAGGCAGTCTTCCCTTCCTCCCCAGACATGGACATCCACATGTGAATTTCTTCAAGCTGCAGAGAAAATATGGCCCCATCTATTCCCTTCGTATGGGGAGCAAGACTACAGTGATCATTGGGGAGCACCAGCTGGCCAGGGAGGTGCTGATCAAGAAAGGCAAGGACTTCGCTGGGCGGCCCCAAGTGGTAAGCAGTGCCCTGTGCCTCCTTTCTCTCTCTCTCTCACCATGTCTACAACGACCATCCCAGCTCCAATAGCCTGTAATACCTTCAGGGACAGAGCGTGATTTGGGTTGTGATTGGAGAGTGAATTCAGCCCCCATCTAATCTCTCAACCAGGCAGGAAAATTGAAAAAAGTTTCATTCTCTGGGCAGCCCAGGCAGTGGGCAGAGGGGGGTTCCTCACTCCAGGCATCTTGCCCCTGAACCGGATGATCATGTCTCTCAGCCAAGACTTCCCGAATTAATGACAGTGCAGATAAAGCATTGTCCCAGGGCCAGTGGGAGACAACTGCCTCAGTCTCAACAATTCTGAGCTCTTCTCCAGGAAAGAAGAAAGAAAAGGCTAGTCAGATGGGCTTGTGGGTCAGGGTGGAACAGAGAAAGCTTTGGGCCTTTGTGGTTTTGGTACATACCTATGAAAACAGTGACTTGCCCAAGATCCAACTGAGTGTACAACACTGCTAGTATCTCCAGGCGTGGCCTTCAAAGGCATACACAATACAAATAGGAGAGGAATCCTAAAGGAGATTCATTGCTGTGCCTTTAGCACCCCCAGAGGGCCCAGGGAAAGTCAAAAGTCTAGGCAGTCCTCTCTACCAGAATGCCTGCTCTCTGCACCTAGGAAACAGAATTCAAAGACCATATCCATCCACAGTTGCCTGCCCAAAAGCCAACCTATAATTTTAACTAAATGTCAGGACCCTAGGATTTGAATTCAGGGTTATTTCTTCTCCTCACACTGCCTCCTTTATGGAATTGGGAACTGGGTCTGGATGAGGAGGTTTTAGAACTGCCCTACCAAGGCCTAAAATCATGGTGGAGTAGAGCAGCACGGTGCCCACATAGGGATAAGCAGGTGCCTGTCTTCTCTCATTAAGGGGAACAGGTGCAGGAAGCCCAGGACAAGGCAGGTAGATGATGCCTGCTTCCTACAGTGTTTCCTGCTCTCTAAAGGTGACCTTAGGCATCCTGTCAGACAATGGAAAGGGCATTGCCTTCGCTGACCATGGTGCCCAGTGGCACCTGCATCGGAAGCTGGTGCAGGCTACCTTTGCTCTTTTTAAGGATGGCAACCAGAGACTAGACAACATGAGTAAGTACCATCTGGCTCCCGGGGCTGTCTTAAGATGGTTGGGGAGGGGAAATTGGTTATTATTGCCTTAATTTACATTTATTTAGCTACTGTTAAAAAATACTGTTATTTTGCTATCTGTCCCTGGTTAAGATGGAACTGCATGCCACATAAGGGTTGAGAGTGTTGCTTAGTTCCCACCTTTATGCTCTTTTCTCCCCTCAGTATGTCAGGAAATCAGTTTACTGTCTGATTTCCTGGCCACGCAGAATGGACAGCCAGTAGATTTGTCCTTGCCTGTCTTCCTGGCGGTGACCAACATTATGTGCTTCATCTGCTTCAACTTCACCTTCAAGATTGAGGATCCTGAATTCAAGACCATAGAGCATTACATTAATGGCATCATGGATGCTCTGGGCCAGAACACTATGGCAGACATATTCCCTATCCTGCAGGTGAGGAAGAGACCAGGCCCCACCCTCAGATCCCAGCAGACCTTTCCAGGGTCCCCAGTTTTGAAAAATTACTGCTCAGCTCTAGGACCATACTACTCATTTCTACCTCAGCCACAATAACAGCTCCCACCTTGACACATAAAACCTTGCCCCTCCACTGAACAAATAGAATTAACATTTTAATCATTCGTTAAGACCCTGAACATGGCTTTCATTGAGTTATCAATGGCCATGTGTCAATATTAGGGACTCCACAAGCATTTGTCGTGCCATTTCACCAAAGGTAGTTTTCTTCATATTCACCCTTCAAAGATAACAGTGATTTGGGATTAAAGAATTTGCCTACGCTCCAGAGTCATGTCTGTCTCTATTACTTCTAAAGACTGCACATAGCATATATCTAAGTATTTACCTCATTCAGTTTTAATATTTGAAAGAATGGGGAATGGGAAGTGAGAAACTCCCTTCTGCCTTGTTGATATTATCCTATTTATTTATTTGTTTGTTTGTTTGTTTGTTTGTTTAAAGATTTATTTTTATTTATACATACAAGAGATGGGGTACAGGCCAGAGATGCTGGGGGTGAGAGGATTCACCAGAGACAGAGTGGGGAACAGAACAGGCAGATTGGCTGAAGTACACTGCTGAGGGGAGCAGCAGGCAAGTCAGGAGAGGTCTGCTAGGTCCTACCTAACTCTGGGCTGTAGAAGCTGTGGATAGCTTCACAAGTGCTATAATTAACCCCTTGTGCCAGCAGGGAGGCCCTTGATATTATCCTATTTATCACTGATGATCCCATTTAGGTCCCCATAACCTCAATTTTGACTGAAGTCCAGGTGGAATAGGAACTCTCTAGAGAGAGAATTCTTCCAAGAAGGATTTGGGCAGCTAAAGAAATTAAATGAAAATGATTATTTTCCTACTTTTCAGATTTTCCCCAATAAAACCCTAGAAATGATGAGGAATTGTGTACAAATGAGAGAACAATGCCTGAGTGAAATCATTGAAAAATATAAGGTAGGATGGAGCAGAAGAGATTGAATACTTGAACATGTGTAAACAGGTTGGATTGATGTTGGACACTGGGCTCTCCCCACCTCCCAGAGCCTGGCACACTGTTGGCATCAATGGAGATGGACTCAACTCATGATGGGGGTGGGGAAATGAGGAACTGAAGAGGTCCTAGAAAGGACCACCAAACCCAAATTCAAGGAGGGCCCAGTGTAGCCTCCTAATTCCATATATCATAGGTCCTACCTAGGCCACGGCTCTCCCTTATCTAAAAGGAGAACCTCTACTCTGGGATGGAAGTAAAGGAGGGTGTTCAGATGGGGCTCCGTCCTTAGCACTGTCTCCAATCTCACCTACCAGGAGAACTTCAGCAGCAACTCTATCAACACCATGCTGGACGTGTTGATCCAAGCTCAGATGAACTCAGGCAACAGCAATGCAGACCCAGACCAGTATTCAAAGTTGCTTTCAGATAAACACATTCTCAGCACCATCGGGGACATCTTTGGGGCTGGTGTGGAGACCACCTGCTCTGTGGTACAGTGGACTGTGGCCTTCCTGCTGCATTATCCTCAGGTGGGCTTCTCTCTACTCCAGTCTTCCAAAACATCCTTACTGCACTCAGCCCAACCTCTGATCCCAGAGAGAGGTAGAGGCACTACCCTCAGACCTTCTGTCCAGAAAAATTGGTAATCCCACCCCTTACCCAAGCAGTGCTTAGCTGTGGTCTAGGGAGAAAATATCCCATTATCTGGAAGAAAGACCTGAGTTGCACACTCACCACTGGGAAGGGTCTAGACAGCTCTTGTAGATTTGACAATAGAATTATCATAATGTCATGTTCTCCCAGGCTTGAGCCTGCTGATCACAACCACTTCCTCTGGCCCACAGCTAAAAAAGAAGATCCAGGAGGAGCTTGATCAGAATGTTGGTTTCAACCGCACACCAACTCTCAGTGACCGCAACCATCTCCTCCTCCTGGAGGCCACCATCAGGGAGGTGCTGCGCATCAGGCCCGTGGCTCCAATGCTCATCCCCCACCAGGCTATCGTCGACTCCAGGTGTGCTTTCCCTCCCATTATCACCCACTACAACGATCCATTCAGCATTCTTCCCAGGCCATCTGGTCGATCCCTCCTTCATCGTGGTCCCTATAGCTTGCTGATCAACTTATGGTCAATGATTGGCTATCAAACAGACTACCCATGAGCCTACTGATCAATACATCCAACACACTCACATAGTCACAGCCTACAGGTTACTGACCTCCCTCAGAGGAGGCCTGCAGTCCTTGGAGACATGTGGTCTGGATAAGACCCAAGTTCTACTCCACCCAATCTAGCAGCCCCAGGCACACACAGATGTGCACCAATTCAGATGCATCCCCACCTGTAAAAACACTCATGTATCCACTACACAGCGTTCATACACAAATTGTTATCAGGCAGAGTGGGTTGGAGAAGTGCTAGATGCATATGGATGTGGCAGAGTTAAGGAAAAGGTGAGGCATTAGGGGTGAGGGAGGAGAGGCTACTTGTCTCTTCGCCAGGGAGCAGACTGTGCAGGCTTGGGGCTGAGCAGGTGGGAGCCACAACATTCCATAACCCCTTCCTCTCCCTCTTTGGGGCAGCATTGGTGGTTATGCCATTGACAAAGGCACAGATATCATCATTAATTTGTGGGCGCTGCATCACAGTGAGAAGGAGTGGGACCAGCCTGACAAGTTCATGCCTGGTGAGTATCTGTCCTGTCATGCTCCAGAGCCAAACAGCCAGCCTACTCTCTATGCTCCACCGACTACTCGGCTTCACTCCTGCCTGGCCCCCTACTAAAAAGTTCTGGGTTGCAATCCTGTATACCAGTTGACGCCCCTAACAAATCCCCTAGAATCACCAACTTTACAATAGACTCCTTCTGTGTCTTCCCACAATTGCAATCTCTCCTCTCAGAAGCTTGTTGTCACATGGTACCCACATACACACTCTAGGCCCCTGGGTGGTGGCATTTAAACCTGCTAACACTGCCTCTTTCCATCCTCCTGACATTCTACTACCTGTGTATGATTGAGGCCAACCTGAGAATAGCCAGAGGGCCCTAAGTAAGGCTGTCACCCTCCCAGGCTGGGGTTCCCCAGACAGGGCACTATCTGCCTTCTGGAACCTGCCATGTCTCTGCTTTCTCCTGTCCTGCCCCCTGACTGATGGCTGCCTCCCTTGTCCACAGAGCGCTTCTTGGACCCAACAGGGAACCAGCTCATCTCACCATCCTTAAGCTACTTGCCCTTTGGAGCGGGACCACGCACATGCATAGGGGAGATGCTGGCTCGCAGGGAGCTCTTCCTCTTCATGGCCTGGTTACTGCAGAGGTTTGACTTCGAGGTCCCAGATGATGGACACATGCCCGCTCTGGAAGGTATCCCCAATGTGGTCTTTCAGGTCGAACCTTTCAAAGTGAAGATCAAGGTCCGAGACGCCTGGAGGGAGGCCCAGGCTGAAGGGAGCCCCCAGAACTAGAACCTGGCACCCGACTCCAGCAGATAGCACAGAACTAGAGGTGGCCCTCCCCCTCTTTTAACCTCTCCCCTCCCCCAGCCCTGGCATGATGTGCATAAACTGAGCAGTTTCTATTCAGAAGGGCCTTGAGAAGCCCATTCATTTCCTCACTGGTTCATTCATTCTCTCAACAAATACTTATCGAACAGCTGCTATGTGCCTCTCACAGGGCCTGGACAGGCAACCTCCCTAGTCTCGCGATGCTACATTTCTGTGAGGACTGACCTACAAACAGGGACTTCAGAGACTCCTAAGTTCACTGAAATGAACTACACTGGTGATGGTGGAGTGAGATGAGGGGGAGGGTGGCCAGGAAACACATGGTCAAGGTTGGTGGCAAGGCCTGGAAGTGTGCCCAGTGCTGAGGGAGAGGCACTGGGAAGGTCTCCAGATAGGAGAGGTGAGCATGGCCAGGGCAGAGCCAGTGAGGTGGGAGTGGTCCCTGATGAGGTCAGAGTGGGAGACAGGGGCTTGTTCCCAGGAGACATGTGTAAATACCTGGTACTTTAGTTTTTATTCCAAGTATGATGTGAAGTCATATGTTTTAAATATAGAAGAAGACTATGACTTGTATTCTTAAATGATCACTGTAGTTGCAGAATAGAGATTGGCTTTTGACCACCCGTGGGTCCAGAGACACAGTTAGGAGGCTGTGATGCTGACCCTGGAGAGCAGGATGATGGGGACCCAGACTGTGGTGACAGTAGTTTAGGTTGCAGTGTGGTAAAATTAAGTTTATATTTTGAAAGTAGAGCAACTGATCTTGTTTGCTTTGATCCACACAAGCATTGATACATGTACCTCAAAAATTTGGTTCTGGGCCTCCCTGGTGGCACAAGGGGTAAAGACGCAATCTATGAAGCTATCTGCAGCCACTGCAGCATGAGTTTGATCCCCGGCCATGGAGCTACCCACATGACCCAGCAGACCTCTCCTGACTCGCCCACTGCTCCCCTCAGCAGTGTATTTCAGTCAATCTGCCGGTTCTACTGCTCTCTCTGTCTCTAGTGAATCCTCTCACCACCCTTCCCCCACACACCTTTGGCCTGTACCCCAGTTCTTGTATGCATAAAGAAATAAATCTTAAAAAAAAATTTGGTTCTGGTGACTGTTAAAGTCTCAGAGCTATCCCCACCCACTCTGGCATGAGTTCGATCCTCGGCCAGGGAGCTGACCCACATGGCACAGACTTCTCTCTCCTATCTCACCAGTTGCTCCCCTCCTCAGTCTATTTCAGTATTTCTGCCTGTTCTGCTCCCCACTCTGTCTCTGGTGAATCCTTTCACCCTCTTCACCTCTAGCCTATATTTCAGTTGTTGTATGCATAAATAAAAAATAAATCTTTAAAAAAAAATTGGAGACCTCCCTGGTGGCGCAAGGGGTTAAGCACCACACTATGAAGCAACCCGTGGCCTCTGCAGCATGAGTTTCATCCCTGGCCAGCCAGAGAGGAACCCACCTGGTGCAGCAGACCTCTCCTGACTCGCCCGCTGCTCCCCTTAGCAGTGTACTTCAATCTGCCTGTTCTGTTCCCCACTAGGCTCTGGTGGATCCTCCCACCCCCCACGTCTCTGCCCTATACCCCAGCTCTGGTATGCATAAATAAATCTTTTAAAAAATTGGTTCTGGGGGTGCAGAATGCGCAGACACCACCCACCCCTACATATCCCTCCAATCTTAATGCCCAAAGTCATATACGTTTCCTCTCCAGCCTTTCTTGGGTGAAATTCTCAGGAACATGTATCTACAGCACCTTCTGTCAAGTGCCAGACTGCCCCTGCTCACTACTCCAAAACTCCTAAGGTTTGTAAATGCCTTGGAGTCCAAACTTCCCGAAATTTGAAACCACCCACTTTAGCCCTTGGTCACTGACCATTCTAGATATGTCCAGAGATACCCTAGACTGTGGAAGTGACCCTGCCCCACAGCCCAGGGAAGGTGCTGTAACTCCAGCTCCCAGGCACCAGGCACACCTTCAACAGCCCTGTCCTTGCCGCCTGACTGAGGGGGGCTCCAGAAGGGCAACAGGGCAAGGCTGAGAACTGCCTGGTTCAGAGTAGAAAAAGAAATCAAGGATGCCCTGTGAGGAGGCAGGATCTTCCCCTAGAGCTGCTCCTTCTGCCTCCAGGGCTTGCTAATCTGGTGGTAGTAGAGCATTCCCCACTGTTCCTGCAGCTCAGTCCTGCTGGCCTGTGGCTGCAGGTCTTGCCTCAGGGCCAGAGGAGCATGAGGGCAGCTGTGGCTGACCCTGGCCCCCATCACAAGCAGCCTGGAGAGCTGCTAACACCCCACTGAGATGCTGGGAGAGGCTTAACCAGAGGTTGCCCCTCCCTCTTCCCAGTTTGTCCTCCAGGGTCCTCCACCAGCTGGCCTCTGAACCCCAATCACCCCTCAGTTCCAGCAATAGGGAGAGATGAACTGGAGGACAAATTTCCCAAATTTGTTCAGAATTTCCAAGACATTCAGCAGACAGTGATGAAGAGATAAACTACTGGCAGAAGGCACTGTCCCTGTAAAAGCTGTGGGTGAGTTTAAGTGGGATGGAAACAGCCAATTTCTCAGTTGCGTCAGATAATGGATGGCAGGGCAATGAAACCCTGCACCTATTTGAAGATGAGGAAACAGGCCCAGTGATCGGGAGGTGAGTTCCCACAGGCACAGAGCCCCTCAGCAGCAGGGCTGGGCCTAGAACCCACACTTTCAGTGATGCAGGAATGGGTGGCAGCCGTGCTCCCCATTGTCTCTTGTGTTTGTACAGAAGGGCTCTCAGCAAGAGAACAAAGTTGTTTCCTTTTGGGCAATGATGTCATGTTGAGTCTGGCCCCAACAGCCCATCCCCCCAGCTGGAAGACCTTTCCCTCTGACCTAAGTCCTCCTCCCTGCCCAGAACGAGGGAAGGCCATCAGTCACGACCCATGACTCCCAGCCATTGCGCTTTGTTCATGGTCTCTTACCTATTCCTGTTACTGAATCCAATGTGCAACTGTGAACCTGCTTGGCTTCAAAGGTGTGATGTGTCCCCCAGGGACAGTATCTTCCCTTCTATTTCTAGATATCAACACTGGGGCCCATCATTGTTTCTATCCTGCAAAACAGCACCGACAAACAGGAGCCTAGACACAAGAGATAACAGAAGCCAATGCTGTGAATCACTTGGCTAATTGCCCAGTCGTAGTAAACTCTTTCTCCTTATGCAGAAGGAAGCCCAAATCTTTGGTGAAGCTGGCGGGCTTGCCAAGACCCCCACCATCACCCTGTGAGCCTCAAAATCCCCTAACAGGGCTCTGTTGCAAGTATGTGGCAAACAACCAGTTCTGGTGCAATGGGGGTTGGGGAGATCCCTGTTTGGTAGTGTTTGCTTATCCCTATGATCTGAATACATCACATAACCAATGTGAGGTCAGTCAACACAGAGGACAGAGATGCACTGTAGCGCTTATGTTACTTAGCATATTACATAGTAAAGGCCATTACCTACTATTTCCCCATACAGGTACATAGCCAACACTCACCTCCGCAGAAGAGATCACAGTAACAGGTAGGAAAATAAATGGGAGGATCCGTTTTCAGTATTATCTTTCTTTTGAATATAACTTACTCAATTGTAGGTTTATATAGTCTAATGTGCTAAAGATATAATAAATAACTCATTAAACTCCTGTCAGTCTAATAATCAGCACTTGGGAGCTGTAAGAGCTGGCATTCTGGGAGACATGGACTACGGCTGTCCTTTGCAGAGCCATTCCCCACAAGCCCCACTCTCAGGGGAGGGGAACATCCCCTCGTCACCCTGGCATGCAATGCCCGTGGATGGCAGTTCCCCAAAGTTCTCCAGGGCCTGAGGTAGCCGCACAACCTTGACACAAATGGCAGGCCTCTCTCAGGTCACACTCTCAAGTATCAACACACTTCTCTGGAGGACAGGATACCAATCACACAGGCCAGAGAGTGGGGAATCACTCCAGATGAGGACCTAGACCTTCCCCCAGTGCTCCAGTTTCCTAAACCTGGATAGTGATTCCCAGCTTCCTCATTTGTAAGTTGGGACACCTGTGCTGCCCCTCATATGAGGTTCTCATAAGGATGAAAAACAGAAAGGGCTGTGCAAGCAGGGAGCTGCCCACTGAGGGGACTTCCTGAAGGACAAGTCATGTTGTGGAGGCAATTGCTCCTGGTGGAGTCACTTACAGACCCAGGAGCAAGGGCAACTTACTTGGCCTCCTTAACCTCAGTTTTCTCTTGTGTAACCTGGGAGGCTCAGGTGTGGAAAATAGCCTGTTCCCGAGATCAGTGCTTGACAAAATCCCCTTTATTTTCCACAAAACACGTCCTGCTCTAAGGACATGTTTGGTGTGATGTTTGCAGATCTCACAAGCCCACCAGCTTTGTCAGGCAGGGAGGGGCTGTGTCCACACAGGTCCCTCCACAGGACAGGACCACGGGGGACCGGCCCTTGCAGCTCCAGATGGCCCTGCTGCTGCCTTCTCCCTCCCTGCACAGCCAGGGCAGGTGGCAGCTGGGAAGTGGGAGGAGAGCCCAGAGTCAGAAACTTGTTTCCTTCCGACACACAGGGTGTTTTGTAACTGTCTGGTGGGGTTGGGTTTGTCAAGACTGCTTGGGGAGAAGACATGCAGTGGGAGGTTAAACTGTGGCTCAGGGCAAACATATTCTGAAAAAGTTCAGATTAAACAGATCTTCTCCTGCCCCCAAGGGCCACTGCAAGCTCTCTTTATCCCCACAGAGGAATAACACACACTCTTGCAAGGTAAAAAGATAAGATCCACATAGCTTTAATTCCTGGTAATTTCACAATGTTACCAAGGGGCACGACCTTCTGGAAGTGAATATTTATCTGAAACAGGCACCATCACGCCCAGGCAGGGACCATGTCAGTGCTGAGAGGCTCTGCTAGGTGAACCCTGGCTGGATGTGGGGGCCTCAGGAGGAAGCAAGTGGACTGGGGTAGTAACAGTCCATATCCCAGGGGGCTGTCTGCAGTAAAAATGAGACAATGTAGGTAAGCAAGCTGGCAGCAGCAGCCACAGGAATTACTCAAGACCAGCTTCTGAACTCAGCATGTGACAAGGTGGATGCTCTCCCTACCCAACCCCTTTCTGGCAGTGACTTAACCCCTTGGAGTACTTTAGGCTAGCCTAATAACACTTGTCACACCCAATGAAATACAAATTATGTATTTGCACTTTATTTTTTTTAAGATTGATTTATGCATACAAGAGCCGGGGTAGAGGCCAGAAATGCGGAGGGTGAGAGGATTCACCAGAGACAAAGTGGGGAACAGAACAGGCAGATTGACCGAAGTACACTGCCGAGGGAAGCAGCGGGCAAGTCAGGAGAGGTCCGCTCCGCCATGTGGGTTGCTCCCTGCCTGGCCAGGAATTGAACTCGTGCTGCAGTGGCTGCGGATTGCTTTATAGGTTGCATCTTAACCCCTTGTGCCACCAGGGAGGCCCCTCAAGCCATTTTTATAGTTGTGGTGCACAATATAACTAAGGTGCCTCTAGCAAGGTGTTCCCTCAATAAAATTCCCATAGCTTACCATCCAAGATGAGCAAAAAGTTAATACTTATCATTGGGCTTATCTGATGATTGTGAGATTCCAGACCCACATCTTATTAATGATCACCAATGCCATTTCCATCCTCAGAGAGAGAGCCACATGGAGGGAATATGATCATGTGTATGACCTAATTTTCCTTATACTTAAAAGTGTTCACATAATTTATTTATTGATAATTTTCTGGTTATGACTTATGAACTAGGAAAATGAAGTAGTTGCCCTCCATTTACCAAATGATTATAAAATTGACTTCTCAAGATTACATTGTTTAAAAAAAACTGAAAATGCACATAAGTTGCTTAAAAAGGAGTAGATATTAGAGAACACTCTATAAGTAAGACAATTAAGACAAGTTAAAATCTTATAACACAACCTTACCCTCCAGCTCATCGGCTATCTTCCCAGAATGCAATTCTCCAGAAAAATTATATTGCTGTTCCAGACATGATGCCACTCTCTCCCGTTTTAGGTCCAGTTACTTTCTATTTTCAGCACCTGGCACATAGTACACACTCAATAATCTGCACAAGTATTTCTAGAATTCCATTTACCCCTCTGCCCACCTGATCAGCTCAGAGGTCCCTACTCTGGGGAGGCTGCCCTGAGCCCCTAGGTGGGCTGCACTCTTGTCCCCAGCATCCTGTGCACACATGCTTCGTGGTACTCTCCAGGAACTGCTAACACTGGCTTTGTCCTTTCTTCTCTTCTGGGGAATTAGCTCTTTCTGAGGAGCCAGGTCTAGGGACATTTGCAGCCCCAATGCCCAGCACATGTAGGTGCTCAATAAATGCTCAGCTCTTAGGTAAAGCCAGTCACTTATCTCCAGGCCAGAAACCAGCATCACAAATACCTCCCATGATGGACCACCCTTTCACAGGTGCAGCCAGAAGCCTGTTTCCAGCTGGCTTGGCCAATACTGAGCAAAAACTCACTTGCCAAATTGGCCTATTGAATGCTAAACCCCGATTTTTTTATGTTGAAAACAGAAGAAATCCCAGAAATGCATTTATTTAATTTCCTGTTTACCAAAGCTAGTGTTTGTGCTTTGGGGTACTGGTATAGTCTCAACCTAAATTTGACCACCTGGGGCATTACACTAAATACCACATTTCATCAGAGAAATCAGGAACTTGGTGGCCTAGTTCAGTGAGAGCTCCTACAGACCTGGACATCAAAGGTACATGCACAACCTGTGGCAGCAACCTGAGTTATACTGGCTTTGAGCCCCTCAGACATTAGCTTAAAGAAGGCAGCAGTGATGGCTCCCTCAGATTGTTCTGAGATTTCAGATCAACACTGTCCAAGATGTTAACATAACTCCCCTGGGGTTGCCTGGAGGAGTCTAACAATTTGGAAGTAATGAGGCAGCCACCAAGTCCCAATGAGAGCGTCCCCAGGTCCTGGGTCAAGGATGGAGCATGTCTCCCTTTCAGGGGAAGTTCCGATACTCTAAGATCCGAAAGGGCTGACTGCTGGGCCAACCTTGGGGGAGCGGGTAGGGAGGTGCAAGGGAAGTGAAGGGTCTCTTCAGCACCCCCTGCTGGTCCAGCAGTGAGGGTTCTACTTGAGGAGGCAGGGACCCCTTCTCCATAGTTAAGAGGTGGCACATCAACCTGTTCTGCCCACCTTCTGGTGCCCCAATGAGAAGTCTTCTGGTTGAGGGTGTTTCCCTGCCTGTGCAGAGGCAAAAGCTGGTCCTTACACAGGCTGGGAGAGGGCCTTACCCTAACTCAAAGTTCTAAGTGGATGATCTTAAGCAGAGAGTAAAACAATCACTGGCCTACCACTGGCTCCCCAGGGACTAAATATCAGTTCTGAGTGCCTGCTGGTTTGCAAGACCCAAGACCACCTACCAAGCACTCCCCAATTGCATCTTAGCCCACCTTCTATTTAATTCACTAATTCAAACAGGGATATCTGGTCTTCCTAACTGGAATTTAACTTTCTAAGGGCATGGACTGTGTCTGACAGATGTCTTTCACGTGATCCTTAGGATCCAGCACAGCATGGGGCACAACAGGGAACACTCAATAATACACATTTGTGCATTAATCCCACAGCCAAGCGCCCTTCCACGTGTCTATCACAGCACGAAAAGAGATCTCATGGAGTACTTGCTTTCTCTCAAATGTCAGGTTTCAGCCTTGGGGTATCTGAAAAACTTGTTTCTGCTTTTGGGTCTGATTTTAATCTGTGTGAATCTTTACAAAGTCTTGGCAGAGACTTTGGCAGAGAGAGGATTTTGTAAGTCAGAAGGAAAAAGAAAAAATATCAGATGGTTTCACTTATACGAGGAATATAGGGGAACCAAATAAGACATCAGGAGAAAAAATAACAATAAAAACACAACAAAACAAAAACAGATAATTATAAGCCAGAGACACCCTGCAGGGGAGGGAGAGGGAGAGGGATTGGAAGGAGGGAGGGAAGAACACAGGGACTGTGATGATGGTGGACGGGTAAATTGGTGGAGGAAATTCTATGGGAAATACACCTGAGGAAAAAAAGCAAACATTGCTTAAAAATGAACAATGATGTAAAATATATATAAATAAATTTTTTAAAACAGAGAGAGAGGATTTGGGGGGAAATTCCTAGGACCAAGTGTGGCCTCTGAGCAGGCTTTACCCAGCTTCCCCTCAGGCCTGCAGTTTCACTTGACCCTGCACCCTATCCTCAGCTGCCCTGGGATGTCTCTCAGGCTCTGTGTGGAGAAAGGAAAGTACTTGCGGTTCTGAATCTCGAGGCACGACTCCCCAGCGTCCAAGGAGAGGAAAAGAGAACAAACTGCAGCAGTAGGATGTTGGGGATTTATTTTATTTAGGCTTCTCACAGTGGTTAGAGCCACTTGTCTTCAGAACAATCACAGCACAGGAAATGCGTCACCAAGACTGCCCAGAAAATCTGACCAGCTGAATCTTATTGCTTAAAATACACATATTCACAATAACTGACAAATGATATGCCTCACAGGAATGTGTTACCACTTGCAAATAAATCTTCCCACGGTAGCACCGCATCCTCTACCAACCCCTTCCTTCGCATTCACCTAAAACACCAGATTCAGTCACATCTCCCCAATCCCTAATTAGTTCTTTGCTTCCTGTTTCCATCTTCTCTGCACAGGGGAGCCCCATTTGGAAGGGGCCTGACAGTGACCTCGGAATCCAGTCCAGCTCCACTAGCCACATTCTCCTCGCTCAGCCTTTAGGTGGGATGCTAGAGGGAAGTCAATGGTTAACATAGACCTGTTCCCATTTGAATGGGGAGGGGCAGATGAGAGGGCCAGAGTTCATCCATTTGCCAGTTAACTGAAGAAGGATTCCTGTTGGTAAATCTTGATCTCCTTTGAGACAGACACTTCAGTGAGCTGTTGGGATATTTATTTCATAGGTGGAAGGAAAGGCATCCGAGGGGCCGCTGGCTCACTCCCGCCCAGTCTCCCCACATACCAGTCTGCTTACAATCGGTGGGAGGGAGTTAGGCCCTGTGGCTCTGTTGTTTCCCAAAGCTGTCTGGAGATTCTGGACAGGGCCAACACCTGAGCCACAGCTCAAACTTATCACTGAAGATCCAATCTTCTGTCTGAATTCCATCTTCACATTCTGACCGAGAGGTTACAGACACCCCCGGGGAATGAAACCCAGGCTGGAAACAGCTGAGGGAGGCAGACAGGTTCAGAGCACGTTTCCATTTACAGAGAACAGAACACAGGCCTCCGAGAGTCCACGGAGCAATGTGCAAATTGCAGTGATGGGTAGAGTAAAACCTCTACTTGGAGCACAGTATCTGACAAAAACGGGACGGCCGTCCACGCTACTGCTGAATACACCTCAGCACACAGTCAGACATTTGTTCAGTAAACAGTAAATGTGTAAAATAAATTACCTTGAGAGGGCCATATTTGCTCCAACAAGTGGTAGGCAGAGCAGAATAACTGCCATTCAAAGTATATTCACAGGAAAACAGGGCAGGGGCTCACACACAATGGACACACACGCGCAGGCTGCCCATAAGTCATTGTATATGGACTTCACTTTGTTCGACATGGATTTTGGTTTTATGGATTCCAAACAGGCACTCATTCCCTTCCCCTCAAAGCTTGTCTATTTGTGTGTGTGTGTGTGTGTATACATACACACATAGATAGCACCTATATGTATCTATGTGTGTGTGTGTTCTATATATGTGTGTATATATATATATATTTGGTTTGGTTTTTCTATTATCATAACATCAATGCCTAGTCTGAATATCATCGATAAAAATGGAGGAAGAACCAAACTTCACTGAATAGGGCTGGATAGGGAATGTTAATTTCACTGTTGGTTTCCTCCATTGAGATAATTCCTATCAAAGCTCAACTCGTTCTTAAAGTCGAACTACAGACCTAAGGATTGCAAGGTCCTTCTGGATGGCAGCCTTCACTCTCCTACCTGAGCCACTCAGACTCTTTACATGGGCTATGAAAATTAGAGGCCCCACTCAAAGCAAAGGGATGCAGAAAAAGGGCATGAAAACCACAGATAACCCAGGCAACTTTTCCAAGTGGTCAGTTTAAACAAAACAAAATGACTTATTCAGACTCCAAGAAAATACTGTGTGAGAGCAGGCTCCAGGGCTGTACTTTCTCAGGACCCATGGCCTCCTGTTTGTTCCTTTAGAACACGGAGACACAAAAGCCAGCAGACAGTGTCCTTGGGTGGGGGAGGGACTGGTAGACTGTGGGCACAGACCAAGGGGCAGAGATGAAGAAAGCTGCAACTCTACCCAGCGCCGTGGCAGAGGGCCTCCTACGCACCCACAGAACTTCCAGTGACAGCCTGCACATAAAACCTCTCATTCTGGAGCAAGTGCAGCCAGATCTTGAAGGCCAACCTGGGAAAGGGCCACAGACTTCCCTTTTCCAGCACAGAATTCTTGCATGCCCACTGGCAAAGTTCTTGTTTTCAGCTCACTTTGTTTAAAAAAGAAAAACATAAAAGGAAGTATAATCTTCCACAACTCAATGGTCTGCAGTCAACCAGAACCTGCTGGAAGGGGCAGCTCAAAAAGCACAGTGGTGCATCAATCTTGTCACTGGACATAGAGCAGTAAGCCCGCTGCCCACCTACACACCACTGCCCACTGGTTCTCAGCCTCCACAGGATTAGCCCAGTCAATGCACTGTACACATGGCATCAAGGGGTGCCAATCCCTGGGCCCCAGCGGGCTTCCTTCTTCACCTGGACTGAGACACACCAAGGTTCTCTGAAACTAACACCAAAGCATGAGTCTACTACATCACCAAGAGTCATCTCAGAACACATCTCAGTCCCTTCCTTGAGGACTCCTAAATCACACACCTCGCTGCCCCAAGAGGGGAGCGAGAAATAACACGAGAGGGAAGGGGATGGCATGGGATTATGAGGAATGAGTCACAGAACCAACTTCTCAGCTCTCCATTACACTGCTTCTGTGTGTGGAAAGGCAACCACCCATGAAAATCTACCTAGAGATGCAGGAGAGGAGGAATAACAACAAAAAAAAAACAAACAAAAAAGATCAAAGTGGCTATACCACTTTCTCTGAAAGTCATTTAATGCTTCTCTCGTGGTTCTCTCCTACCCTGGATGCTTTGCCAAGTTCTTGGATATAGGCAAGGCCTGCTCTAGCTGGGGGAGCTGCTGCTCTGGGAGTTTGGGGAGTCCTGCTCATTTATGGTGTTCAGCAGCAGGCACGCGGGTGGCCGTGGTAAGTGGGGGTGGCCAGGCTCTCGGTCTTGCTCCTGTGAGGGCTGACAGAGCCCTTCCTCCTCATCGCCAGGGGTCCGCATGTGGCAGCTGTCACAGAAATCCAGGGGTCCATCCAGAGCATCATCGATGAGCGCACTGAACTCTTTAAGGTCACTGTCGTGGTGGCCCCGGTTGCACACACACACCTCAATGCCCGAGTCTCCTGTGAAGCGGCGATGTCTGCCAGGTGTCTTGTCTTTGCTGTCAGGGAGGACACTGCCCAGCTCGGAGCTGTCATCTCTCAGCAGCTCCTCCTTACATTCAGAATCCTTGTTCAGGAAGGCCCCGGGCTCCAGCTCCCCCAGGCCGGCCACAGAGCCACTGCGCTCCATTCCACGGGCTTTGGTGGCTGCCAGGTCAGCAGGCACATCGGAGGGCTCAGGGTCAGCGATGCTGGGGGGTCTTGTGCTGCTTCTGCTGGGCCCAGACAAGGGGCTGCTCTGGGCCCCCTGGGAGTCCCTGGTGGGATGGGTGCCAGGGGTGCTGCCGCCTGCAGGGCCACACTGGGCAGGCAGCTGCTGCTGCTGCTGCTGCTGCTGCTGTTGGAGCTGAAAGGCACTGTATGGTGGGGGAGGAGTTGGAGGTCTGTTCACCACTTCCTCATAAGGAGGTAGTAAATAGTTTGGCAAAAACCCTAAAATGGGGAGTAGGGAGGAGAAATTACTACACTGGCAATTGTTCCAGGACAGACTTCAAAGCTCAAACCAAACATATGTCCCCCCACCCCCAGCCTACCCACCAAGTGACAGCTACAGCTCTTGGCAGTGGGCAGGGCAGGGGGCCTGAGCAATTTTGCTGAGAGAAGGACAGATGGGAGGGACCTAATTCAGCTTCCTGACATAGGAGGGACCTGAGCTGTTGCACAGGCAAGGACTTCTTGGCTGTCTGGAGTCAAGGCAGAGGGGCAGGCAGATGTGCTGGATGGCCAGAGTATTTCTGCCCGAAGGGCCTCTTTCCAAGTGCATGCGCCTTTACGCTCCTGTTCACTCTGTGTTCTCCATCTAAGTTCCACAGGCCTCAGAGAACATACCTGGAGACTTCCTAACTACCTTTTTCTTTTCCCAACCCTTCCAAGTTTAAGTAAGTAGTAAGATCCTTTTCTAAAAGGTTAGAAACCGGTGAGAATGGCAATGTGGATGAAGAGGTGGTCTGGGAAGACAAACCTCATCCTGACTCAGATCAAAAGCACTGGGCTCCCAGCAAAGACAGAGGCCAGTCATTCAAGACATATTAAGAACATGCCAGGTCAATATGCTGACAATCTCATCACACAACATTAATTGCTAGCATTTATTGAGCACATACTACATGACAGGCACTGTGCTAAGCACTTTACCCTTTCCCATGTGGAATTCCACCCTGGTGACCACTACATGTTGCAGAAACACTGCTGGATGGCTGCACAGCTCGGCCGCCTCTGACCACTTGAGTGGTCAGATATTCTGAGGGAGTCCTTCAGTGAGTCACCAATCTTCTCGGTTCTCAGGAAATTCCAAGGTCATTCCCCCACGCCTGTCCATCTCATGACAGCCTCTACTCAGGTATACCATATGGTAGTAAGCAAAACTGGAGGATTATAGACCACTGAACCTTAAATTTCTATTCATTCACATCATATACCATTTGACTATTTGCCTCAAATAATTTGCTAAAGGAGCAGAGACTTGCTAAAGAAGCAGCCAGCGTGGATTGGAATGGCCCAGTGTTTTCTGGAAGCTGCATCCATTGCACCTGCTCCTCTGTGCTAACAGTGAGTGCCCCCTTCACCCAGTACTTGCAAGTCCTCTGCTCTTAGCTAGACAAGGGGGCCCACAGGAGCTCTGGTTACCCATGCAGCAGCCTGTGTATTCTGGGCTCCTGAAGGTGGGGTTTGATGGCTCTGGGGATACATACTGAAATAAAATGGCAGCGCTGAGTAATTGTGGGCTTCCCGGTAGGCAATCAGGTTGATTTCATGTTGCCGCTGCTGAGCCTGAAGCCGGTGCTTGGCTCGGCGGTGGTGGCAGACACAGCAGCAGCTCAGGATGATGATGATAGTCCACACCAGCCAGAACCCTGGGGGCCGGGAGGAAAGACAGAGAGGCACACACAGTGAACACCACCAGAGGGGCCACCGTCACAACAAGGAATCCCAGACAATGGCTGCCTGTTTGAAGCTGGCACTAATGGACCTGCCCCATGAGTTCACATTTTGAACCTGTGTTCAATTTTCAGTAATGTTGGTACTATAGTGAAAGCTGTGGATGGGAGAGGGCAGGGATGGAAGAACAATGGTAAAGAAGGTCACCACTTAAGCAACTCCAGGGAGCTGGGGGAAGGGAAGATGCTAAGGTATCTCTCCAGCACCATTGCTCCTTTTGTACCTTAGGCTTGCTAGGCATTAAATATGCTCACTTTCTAGGGCAGTGAACTTTATCTCTTAAGGGATCGCTGAGTAAAAGAGGTCCATCTCCACCTCCCCTCAATTCTGCCCAAGCCCTTAAGGATGGATCCCGGTTCTTTGCTTGTCCCTGAACTCCAAAAGCAAAGAGTCCCTCAAAATGTCCAAGATTCAGATTAGCAGTTCCAAGGGACTCACAAGGCCATCTGATAAAGGAATTCTTAGGTTTCTCCTGATATCCAAAAAGATCAGAAGATTTTCTGTACCATGAGTGTCTCTGTAATTAATACAAGAGTCATGAAAAGGGGACTCTCTGCTGACACAAGGGTTAAAGTCTCAGCGCTATCAAGCTATCACCAGCCACTGAGGCATGAGTTCAATCCCTGGCCAGGGAGGTAACCACACGGCGCAGAAAACCTCTCGTCTCACACGCTGTTCCTCTTAGCAGTGGATTTCAGTAGATCTGCCTGTTTTGCTCCCTACTCTATCTCTGGGGAATCCTCTCACCTCTCTGCACATCTGGCCTGCAGCCCAGTTCTTGTATGCACAGATAAATAAAAATAAGTCTTAAAAAAAAGTCATGAGAAGTAGAAGTGGAAAAATTCTAGTAGCCTGAGGTCCACGTCTTTCCTGGAGAGTATGAATGACTTCCCCTGTTCCTGATGTGCTCCAACACAGCTCCATCTCCTGCTGTCACAATCTGCTCCCACCTCTCTAGGCCATCAGTTACATGGTTGCATTAGACTCGGGGCCCTTAGAAGCCTCCCCTTCTTCCTTCCTGCTTCAAGGGATTGGGTTAGAGGAACAGGGTTTGAAAAGGCCCAGAAGCCCTCTCCTCTGCATGGATTATTTCTTCTCATTTCCCACCACGTTCTCTTAGATCATGCTCAGAATCTCACCAAACCCCAATATAAGATACTCTCCCCAATTTAAATGTATGCAGAAAAGCCTTATAATATTTTTGTTTGATCAGTAAGCAAACTGGCTTAAAAATTATATATGGGAACCAAAGGCAAAAAGGAAAAACAAAACTTGTGATTTCTCTTTAAAAGGATTATGAGGAATTTTAATTTTCTTTTATCAATTATTTCATATTATAAAATTATTTCATATTATAAAATTATTTCAAAGTTATTTCATATTATAAAACTGGAAACAAAATAAACTAAAACTTAGATATTTCCTTATCAATTATGTTAGCATCAAGTCTTTAGTTTTGGTTATTTCAGAGTTTTAACACTTGCAGAAATTGTTTTTGGAAAAATTAACAGGAGAAACACCTTGACAAAATTTCAAGACCCATGATAATGGACAGAACTCTGGATTGAAAGTTCCTTACCGAGAACTGAATTAATTTAATATGGCTTTGTTTGAAATGTTATTGGTTTTTGTTGTTGTTGTTTGGTTGTTTTTTGATTCAAGAAAAAAATTTTCTATTAACTAGGCCTGCCCTGGTGGCACAGCGGTTGAGCACTGGGCTGCAAAGCTGCCCACAGCCTCTGCAGTGCCGGTTCAATCCCCAGCTGCCAGCGAGGGTCCCACATGGCGCGCAGACCTCTCCTGCCATGCCCGCTGCTCCCCTCAGCAGTGTATTTCATCAGTCTGCCTGTTCTGTTCCCCGCTCTGGCTCTGTTGAATTCTCTCACCCTCCCACGCTTCTGACTGTACCCAGTGCTTGTATGAATAAATAAAATATTTTAAAAAATTTTTTGTTCTATTAACTGACCATGAGTTACAGCAATATTAAATTGCATTTTGTTTAAGAGGTAAATTGTGTTACACTTTCTGTCTCCTTGATACCATAGTAAAATATAAAAAATGGTAGTTAAGTATTTTTGTTATTTATGACAATGTGTCTAACATTGCATAATTTCAATAAGGAATTTTGTTTCACCTTAAATAGAGAATTGAAAATAGGGATACATTCATTACCCAGGCTTTGACTGGAATGTGACAGTTGAGACCTTCTGAAAGTTGAGACAGAGCAGAACCGACAAGAAAAGAGCTCACTACCTTGCCTACAGGGTTCCAGAGACGTTCTAGGAAGGAGTGTAGGGAAGCTTACCTCCATTGGCAGGTCTGGAGAACCCACAGAGAAAAGCCTTGGGAACCTTGAGAAGAAGAAATCTTCCCAAAAGTACAAATGTAACAGGTAGAGTCTGGTGAGACCATCCCATGGCATGGCTCCTGAGATCTGGACAGGTCAAATGTCAAGAGCTCAATCTAAGATCCCTTATGGAAAGTTCCAACAAAGCCAACAGAAATTCTACTTGGTTATTCTAGCCTATGAGTTTTTGCAAAAGTAGATCAAATAGATTGGAATTAGATTTAGTTTACAAATGGATTTTTCTGTACTAGTTGATAGAATAGGAATAAAGACAGAATGATTTGAATAGTAACCTCTCTTAAGCAGCTTTGAACTTTTTTTTCTCCTTTTTGGATTGGACTGATTGAAACTTCTAGAAATGATGGACTTTGCCATACTGGCTGTGCATGGACAATGACCAATTCCTATTTCCTTTGCATACACCATAGCCAGGGAGAAGAGTGTGGTCCAAGGCTGCACCACGGCATCCAGACATCTGACTTTCATCACCATAAAAATGGTGACAAGAATTAAAGTGGGGAAATTGTAAGAGGAAGAACCATGAGGCGCAACCTCCAAGTCAGTGGGTGGTGCCCATAGTCAACTGGATGGTAGAAAGTGGAGCTTTCCAAAGCCCACCCACGAAGGGGAGGACTGAAGGAAAACAAGGGTGGACCTGTGCTGAGGCTTTCCAATGGGTAAGCTGCTGGGGCTTCTGGTAGTTGTACTGCTGGGGCTTTGGCACATAGACTGCTGGTAAGGAGGGATGTCTGTGGAGAAGCTGCCAGTTTGCCAAAGGAGGCTTGAACTTGTACCCCAGGTCTCTGCTCAGTGGACATTCTCTTCGGCAGGATAGATGGCCTCTGGCCACATGCCAGTCTGTGAATTCTCTGCCCTCCCCCCCACCCCATGTAAATAAATCCTGTTATTGTTGTTTCTCTCCTTTGTGTCTGGAATGGTTCCAAGATAGTCTTTTGTGAGGTTAAGACAAGGGTGCCTCCATCAAATGGGGCCAAGGAAGAAAGTTTTAAAAAGGAAGGAGACACATAAGGGAAGACAGAACTACAACCTTCTTCCCAAATACACACCTACCCAGAGATGACTTTTCCATAATGATAACTTTGAAAATTGTGACCTTATCGCGGGAAGGGTCTCATGTGAGGCAAAATGGAAAACATGTTTTTATAAACAATCACAGCCCCATGTAGGAACTGAGTCATGGGCTCCAGAATTCACTATAAATTTGGGAAAATACCACCAGGCAGGAAATTCCTCATTAGTAAGCCAAAGCATACTATAAATTAGCTCTCTTTCTACCCCACAGGATGATGGGTGACCTCCCTGGCCTCTTAGAGCTCTTGGCAGAAGCTCCTAACACTGTTACTGTAGAAAAGGCCTCATTTTGGGAACTGAAGATGTTAAAGGACTACAACTTCATGTGAAACACTGGACAAGTTTCCCATAAGCATGAATGCAGATATAGAAGAGAAGAGGCAGATGATCTGGTTTCAAATTCCAATTCACAAAACCATTTCCTAGCTTTGTGACCATGGTCATTTTGTTTTACTTCCCTCATCTGCAAATTGGGGAGAATAACGTTCTCTACCTTACTTGATCATAGTGAGGACTAAAAGACTCATACAGAGAGAATACTTAGAACTGAGGTACAAGTTCTCCAGCTTATTAGTAATTACTTACTAATTAGTAATCACTGTTGTTACAGACAGGCTCACAGACAGAGAGAGTTTCGTTTACATTTCCCTTTCAAGCTCAAAAAGTATTATATCAACAGGCCTCCCGGTGGCACAGAGGATTCAATTCCCGGCCAGCCAGGGAGAAACCCACATGGTGTGGCAGACCTCTCCTGTCTTGCCCACTGCACCTCTCAGCAGTGTCTTCGGTCCGTCTGCCTATTCTGCTCCCCACTCTGTCTCTGATGAATTCTCTCACCCTCCTGCGCTTCTGACCAGTACCCCAGTTCTTGTATAAATAAAATCTTAAGGGTCTCCCCGGTGGCGCAGCAGTTGAGCGCTGGGTTGCAAAGCTGCCTGCAGCTTCTGCAGCGCCGGTTCGATCCCCGGCCACCGGGCGAGGGTCCCACATGGCGCGCAGACCTCTCCTGCTGCCCACTGCTCCCCTCAGCAGTGTTCTTCATCGCTCTGCCTGTTCTGTTCCCCACTCTGGCTCTGGTGAATTCTCTCACCCTCCCGCGCTTCTGACTGTACCCAGTGCTTGTATAAATAAAATAATAATAATAATAATAAATAAATAAATAAATAAAATCTTAAAAAAAAAAAGTATTGTATCAAAAAGCAATAGTTAGGAACAAATCCAAGCTTCTAGGTTCCATGTTAGGCCAAATTCATCCGAAATCAGTCAACTCGTATTTACCAAGTCCTTACTATGAACAAGGTGTGGTATCAGCTGATAGCAATCCACCTGCCTTTGTCTAGACACCTTGGATCACTAGGGGCCTGGAGTCCAATAGAAGCTTGGAAGGAGGCCCCAGCTCTCTGTTATCCACTCTGCTCAGGATAGCAAATGCCTTGGCGTCCCTTCAGAGCACTTTTTTAATAGGTATCTTAAGAGAAAAAAGTTGGCAGCTTAACAGAATTAACTGGATTTGCTCATACCTGTTTCATACATTCAGGAAAACTCCACCATCCAGAAATTCTCCCTTCCCTCCATTAAAGTCTAAACCACAAAAATTGATGCCAGAATGAAGTTCCCTCAAATTATCTCTTTCTCTGAAAACTAGCATGGTAGGGATAAAGCTAACTGAAATGACAACTGGGAACATTGAGATTCAGGCATTTTGGGAATCAGCATGTTCCTGGCCTCCCTGGGGCTCGGTTTTCTTTTTTGCTCTATCTGTGCCAGGAAGGACTTCCTCATATTCGACCTCTCCACAACCTGTGTTCACCATCCCTTAAGCCAGAGTTTGCAGTTCTGGAAAAGGAGTGGCTTTTCAGTTGCAACACTGGTGCTGACAAACAGGGATCATAGGTATACCTAGCAGGGATGTTTTTAGGGTGAAATGAGATGATGTAAATGAAGACCTTACTGAGTGCATATAGGATGAACATCAGCACCCTCATTTCTTTGCAGACAAACCAGTGGCCCCAAGGCAAAGGTGAACAACAGGACGCATACTCTATTATTTTCCACAGGGCCAGGCCGTGGTCTGTGGTCCTCCTCTGCCTGCAAAGTCCTTCTACCCTGGCTCCACATGTTTAAGTCCTATCCACACTTAAAGGCCTACTTCAAATGCCACCTCTTCCATGCAGCCTGCCTGAATTCTACCCAGTCAAAGCCAAGCTCCCCTTTTGAAACTTCACAGCAGTTCTGGCACATATATTCTACTCCGTACTTGTATTAATTGTGTGATGTCTCTCTCTGTGAGATTACCATCATGATGGCAAAAATTATGTTTTCCCATAGTTTCTAAGGACAGGCCACACAATCCAGTAGGAACTTGTTATAAGTACAAATTCTCAGGTCCACCTCAGACTGGTACATCAAAAACTCTGGGTGTAGGTCTCACAATCTGTTATTTTATAAGTCCACCAAGAGATTCAGATACTTGCCCAAGTTTGAAAACCACTGGAACAAGTGTTTGCTGAATGAATAAATGATTGAATAATGAATTATAGTACAAGTGCCATAAAAATGCATGAGATGATAATGATGATGATGATGATGAGCAGGTCCTGGCAGGCTCAACCACTGTGGTGATAGAACAGGATTTGTACTTCCTGTCTGATGCAAGCCCCACAATGACTTTTGGCTTAGGTTACAACAGACTGAAAGACAAGTAAGAAAGGTGCTGGCTGAAGCTAACATTCTATGTGTGCTCATGTCTCTGTGTAAACTGGGCTCTGTAAGTATCTGTGTAGGATACACAGGAAAACGCAATTTAGGAGAGGCAAGAGTTGGTAGAAATGGCTATTTCCTACTCTGAAGGCCTTCCTTAGAGGCCACTATGATTAAGGAGGTATTTTGATGAAAGTGCTGCCAAAGATTTCCTGGCTGAGAATATATTTTCCCCTTCTACTGGGATGACAAAAACAATCACCCAAAGACCATTACTTTCACATTTCAGGTATAGTTTACAGGCAATTAGAGGTAATAAGGTTCCAAGTGACAGAAAGTGTAATTATGATGTGAAGTGAAGGAGTTCATTCCAACACTCAACCTCCCTCCTAACATATGAGGCAGAGATGAGGGCCCTAAAAAGGAGGTAAACCAAAGAGAGGGGTGGAACTAGACACTGCCTGACCAAGGCCATTTCTGGACACGGATGAAAGGAAAGCTTTGTTTTTACAGCCTTTGTCCCTCCAAAACTTGGAAAGCACAGGCCAACTCAAATAATGGAGAGTCTTTTCTCTCCATCCAGAATCTGGTCTCTGGCCAGACTCTGGTCTGGCCTCTGTTTCCCCAACTGACCATAACTGGAGAGATAATCAGCCTTCCCTGAAGCTTTTTTAAGACCTTGGGGTGAAGGACTTGCTCCCTAAACTGCCTCCCAGTCATCTGGGGCTCCCTGTCCCTACAGCCCAGCCCCCTGCCCTCGCTTTAGTGACTCAATTCTGACGGTTACTGAATCTGCTCTAGCAAAGGCCAGGCGGCTCTGTCAATCTGAGATGGAGACATCACCAGTTCCGGTCCTCTCCACCAATGATGCTGCCTGGGACAGGCCCCAGAATAACAACCTGCAGCTCTGAGACTTTTTGGCAGCCTGGCTTCAACTTTTATTTTAACAAGGGGTGGGAAGGAGAATTGGTACTCAGCATTCATCTGTATTTTAAAACATTTAAACACTCTATCCACCTGCTTATCACTTTGCATTCTTTAGTAAGTCCCTCAGCCCCACCCTTTCTAAAATAGCAACAACTGCTCTGTGCTCTCCTCTGCCACTCACATTCATGGAGGATTAGCCAGGATTCTGGAGTTGTGTCCTCTACTTGGGGGAGGAGTCTGCACTTGACTGACGCTGGAACCTCAGAAAGGCAGAAGAGCCTGTCTCAACCCTAAACTGGAAAGAATCAGGTGAAGAAGAGGTTCTGTTCTAGGAACCACTCCAACTGGCTATAAGACACAATTGTATTCCAGAAGGCAAGACTTCCCAGCCAAGAGACTAATTTCCTTTCCAGAGCAAAGGACAGCCCTTCAGTTGCATCCTTACCATTGCACTGATGTAAGGGAATGGGGAGATCAGAAAGGGCAGAGGAGAAAGGGTGATGGCAGCCATAAGGTCATGGAGGGAAAAATAAGCACAGAATTTGTTTCCAGAGAGGGTGACTGAGGTTTCAAATTAGCAGGAAACAGTCTACATTTCCTCTCTCAGCAGACCCTTATGAGAATTTTTGCACTGCTAGTCAATGATGGAGTCTACCCGAAGGACAATCCTACCCTCCTTTCTTAGCTGAGCATCCTACTGAGTCTTGTCTGAGGGCCAAAAAGATCAAAGAACCTGTGGTTTTGATCCTTCAAGCCTGGGTCACTCCCTGAAGTGATATGGCCATGTCACAACCCTTGTGCAACTGTGGAAGGTACAAGTGGTCTTGGCTTCAAGCAAACCAGTGATAGGTGAGGGCTGTCTGTATGGCCTTTACTGATGCTAACAGGATAGGTACAAGAGAATCCTGCACACACTTCAGTTTTAGAACTGGGGAAGGAACAGAGAGGGTTGAACTTCCTAAACTCCCTCTCTCCAGGAAGGCTCCATAGACAGGGACCTAGGGAAAGATGATCTCTTTAAGAGGGACCTCCAAAAACAAAGGTAGGTCCTTGATGCTCAGTGGGGCATTCTGGAAGCAGCTTGTGGTATTTACAAGAAGATGGCCTGACTGTCACCCACAGAGCCCAGCCCAGCATACCCAGCAGCTTAGTTGCTGCAGCCACTCTTTAAAAAAAATGGCAAATCTGGGTGTCTGGGTAGATTCATGGGAGGATCTAAGTTGTTATCACTACCTGTCACACACTGGAGAGAGCATCAAAGGGAATCTCAGGCAGGACTTCTGCAGCAAACCTGGTTACCACAGCCTCTTTCTAAGACTCAGACCATGTAGTCCCATGTTTAGCCCATAATGCACAGAGCACCAGAGCTCACCTCCTCCACAAAGGAGCTGCTTTTGGAGCCCAGAAACAGATTCTACTCGCCAATAGTGGACCCGAGAATGACAACAGGGGTGATCAATCAGTCCACGGTTTCCCAACCCGCAGAGGCAGTGAGCACAACCCCCAGGGAAGGACTTACACCAGAGCTCATAATAGTAGTTGCAGCACTGAGACTGTCCGCAGCAGTGTCCTGTATCACAGATGTAGCTTTGATTGTTGGTACCCACACAGGTTTCCTTATCCTAAAAAAAATATATATATACATAAATCAAAATGCATTTTAGGGTATTTTAGTTTTTTTAAACACCACTTTTCTTCTCATTCCCCCTTTTCCTGGTTGTGTGCCAAGGTCTATACCAATGACTGGTCCATTAAGAAAAAAACATTTTAAAGAATGACCACAGCATATTTAAGGGGAAAAACTGTTTCATAAAAGGGGAAAAGGATTCAGTGCACAAAGCCAACTGGCAAAGTGCAGAGTTCTCCTGAGACAGGAAAGGCTTTCTTAATGTTCAAGCAGAAATATTTCCTGTTCCAATGTTAGACTCAGCTGGTGAGAAGGTGATGATTCTCCTGTAATTAGCAGTATGTCTTAAATAAAGCTGGCTTTTCTGTGAAACTTCCTGGAAAATTTAATTCTGTATATATTCCAGGATTAACATCTAGTCAGTTATTCCATCCTCTCTTCAAAACACATCATCTCCAAGGTTAATTAATTACAGTGTAATTCAAAAAGAGGGCTAAGTAAATCTGTACTAAAATTCTTTGCTCTTAAGAGAATGGGTGAGAGTCCTCCCTGGTGGCACAGGGGTTAAAGTCTCAGCGCTGTCAAGCTGTCACCAGCCACTGTGGCCTGAGCTCGACCCCTGACCAGGGAGCCAACCCACATACAGTATAGCAGACCTCTCCTGTTTTGCCCGCTGCACCCCTCAGCAGTGTACTTCAGAAGATCCACCTGTTCTGCTCCACATTCTGTCTCTGGTGAATCCTACCTCTGCACCTCTGGCATACACCCCAATTCTTTATGCATTAATTAACTAATTAATTAATTAAAAGGTGACATTCTCAGGTGCCCCAGTCCAACTTCAGGTAGCTAACTCTTTTTTGCTTAAATAATGCTCTCTCCAGAAACATGACTGAATCTAGAATTTATACTGTCCCTTCTCAGGGAGAGCACCACAAAGGGCACTGCTGAGCAGTTTGCCAAATTCTATTCACCAGTAGAGGAATGAAGGTGAAAAAGCTTTCCTATATTTCACATTTAAGATAAGAAATACTCCACCAGCCAAACTCAACTTCAGACCAAAATGTATTCTCACAATACATTTGATGAAATCAGTCAGTCGTTACTCTGTCTGGCTTTCAACACTACTTTACTCCAAAAAAGAAAACTTGTATTTCCTGGGCACCGTCTTTGTACCAAGTACAATGTTGTGTACAGGGATATAAGGATGAATAAGATATTGTCCCTATCCTCAAGAAATTGGGAGGTAAGAAGGGAAAAAAAAAAAAAAAAACCCTGCTAAACAAAGAAGCTTAAAATACAGTATTGTATTTGCTGCTACTCAGTCTGACCCTGCTCACAGCGTACATCCGGGGGATGCCTGCCAGTGGAAACTTAAGCCACATGGTCAGTTTCTCCTCTCTGAGCCCTGCTTTACTACTCTGTCCACTTGGCTAATGGTATAAACAAGGCACTGTCTACAGGACTGAGGGTAGGCAGCAACAGTTCAGTTTCTGAAGGCACATGGAGAAGACAAGACAAAGGGCATGGCTAAAAATCAGAGGCCTGGCAGGTTCCACCATACATCTTTGGATCTTTCTGTTCTGGAAGAATCTTCCCCCTGGTGTAAAGGAGTTCCAAGAAGGAAACATGGGAAGGATACATGTAGCCTCTGACAATGAGTTTCACAATACTGCAAACAAGTTCTTCCTAGTTTTGCCTTCTGTGTCCACCATAAACAAAATGGAACACCGCTGGGCAGCTGTCCAGCTGATGTCTCCTTAAGGCCTGCTGCATGTGAAGGAAAGCAGATATGTGCTCTCTGCTTTTGCTAGAACACAAGCTCTCTGATTTCAGAGCAAACAAAGCTTTCATAAGGACATCAAAACATCTCTCCCAAGTTTACCAGGGCCTGGAATGCCATTCTTCCGGTACTGGCTCTCAAGAGCACGGTTCAGAGTGTCCACATAGCTTGTAGAAGGGGCCGTGAAGCCTACATACAGACACATGAAAGAATCCAGCCACATTTCTGACTCTGGAAAATTCACCAGATGAGGTTCAGGCTCTGAACATGGGGTGGCCAACTGGTCCTAAGGCATAGAATGCGACGAGTCTGAAATCTAAAAAAGTGGCATCCTCTTGACCTACTGGTGTCAGGTTCTCTCTTGGCTCCTCCACGTACCAAAGCAGGAAGGATGGGATAAAGGACCTGACTCTTTCCCTCCTCTGCCTCCACCTCCCCAAGGAGAGCTTTTCTTCCTAGCATCTCTAGCACTTTATACATACTTTGTCATTCTGGTCAACAACCAGAAGGGCCAGTAAATGTCCCTCCCATCCCCCTTTCTCCAGAGGGTAAACCAGAGAATGGATTCTGCTGTCTCTGTGGGCAGGAACTTTGTCTCTGGCCCCCCTGGGCCATCCCCAGTAGGAACACAGTGTTTGGCACTTTAAAGTTTGCCTAAAGAAGCAATGGCCACACAGCCTCCACAAAGCAGAGGGAGCTCAGGGAAATGACGGCTAGTGGACACTGAGCACCTGCCAGTCACAGGCGCTGTTCTAGGCTTGATACACAGTCCTTCATCTAAATGCGAAGGCAGCTCTGTGATTGGGTAGCATCAGGCACTTGGGCTGAGGGAGGCCCAGGAAACAGTCCAATCTAGTTGGTGTGACTCCAGAGTCTGAGCTTTTAACAAGGAAGCCTCTGTGTTGAAGTTACACTTCTTTAGTTGTTTTTTACTCTTAAGGTGCTTCAGTAAATAAAATACAAACTCCAATATTTCATCTGATGGAAAAGGTAAGAGCATGTTCTGTGGAACTCCCTGACATGGGGAACAGGACGCTTCGTCTTCACTTGGCAGGAATGAATCAGGTATAGCGCTCTGCCCTTCTCAGCACGAAAGACTGTATCCTCCTCACACACTGATTTTCTGTAAAGCAGAATGACAAGTCGTCCCAGAGTGTAATGTGGGGTCTTCATTCCTTCCTTCAACATCTATTGAGCACCTGCACTCGCACAGGCATCAGAGGCCAGACTGTGTAGAGGGGTGACCATGGTCAGAACTACGTTTTTAAAAGACACCTTCTCTCTGGCAAGTTATTTGCACAAAACTCCAAAGCCAAAAAAAAAAAGCGCTAGAAACATAGGATTTCTCACAAAAGAATGTGGGGTGCATATATGCTTATGCTGAGTGAGGTCTTTTGCCTTGGGAGTGACTGTGACGATGCCCGCTAGGGTCCCATAGGTTACAGGTACCTGCCCTCAGTCCTAATACCACAGTGACCAGCTCCCAGGTACCAGGTGCACATGGAAACCAAACAAAAAGGACAGACACAAAAAAAGAAAGACCAGCACTGAGTTGGAAAGAACATTTTTACAATGGAAAAGGATGAACACTGCTTTTTACACATATGCAAAAAATTATCTCATCTGTTTGGTGGCAGCAAAAACTGCGGGACTAACAACATTTTCCTTAACAGTTTCCATGTCTTATAGCTGCTATTCTTAGCTGAGCCACTGTAAAGGTCAATTTAATCAGCATAACAACTTTCTAAGTACCAGCATGAAAAGAGACACTGGGTAGTAATGCTTCCCCAGGGATGGTCTTAATTTGCCAATTTATGGACCTGGAAAATCCTGCTAGAAACTAGGCTAATGGCATCTTCATCATTTAGAAAACACTGAAGTTTTAACATTTAAAAGTAAAAAATAGGAAAGCTGAAATCCTTCACAGATGCTAAAGCACAGGACACCGACTTCCTTGGCTGTTGGATATGAACTCATTTGGGGCACAGCTTGTGAGTGTTCCCACGGCGTAAAGAAACAGTTTCTAAAGGGAACATAGGAAGGTACAGGGGGAAAAAAAAAAAAAAGAATGATAATACTTAAAGAGATAACTGAAGGGCCTCCCCTGGTGGCGCAGCAGTTGAGCGCTGGGCTGTGAAGCTGCCCGCAGCCTCTGCAGTGCCGGTTCCGCAGCCTCGCCCGGCTGCGGAGAGGGTCCCACAAAAAAAAAAAAAAAAAAAGAGATAACTGAAAAATTTCAAAATTAGTTACAAATATAAATTTTTAATATATTTATAATACAAATATAAATTGTTAACTGCAAATATAAATTTGCTGTTGCACACTGCAACTGCAAACAACACAAAAAAATTAACAAGTGAAATGAGAATTTAAAATAGTAGTAAGTTCCATGAGGTTAATAAAACAGGATAAAACAAGACAAAGGGTTTTTAGGTGGGACGGTCAGAAAGGTCTCCCCAAGAAGATGAAATCAGACTTGAACACTGAATGATTACATGGAGTCAATTTAAGCAGTGTCCAGGCAGAGGGGATGGCAGTGCTTACAAAAACACCAACGCAGAAATCAGTGTGTGGTGCTCAAGGAAAAATAAAAAGGTAGTGTGAATGAGTACAGTGAATCTCAGGGACAGTAGTATGAAAGGAAGAGCTGATAATTCAGCAGAGACCAGACCACATATTCTATGTACAACACTTAATATTCAAATACTGTAGTTTGTAAATTAACTGTTGGCCCTTAAGTTAGGATGGAAATTTGAACATCAAATTTTGAACGTCCAAATTTCTTTTTATACTTCCTTTTCAATTGGGTGCGCCTCCCCTCCTTTTTTTTCCTACCATTCAGATGGTGGTTGATACTGTAGACTAATCAATAAGATCAACTTTCTTTCCATTTTTGAACCAGGAGTAGTTTTCCAGAAAGTAGACCAAATCCTAGCACTGTACATCTACTGGAGCAGATACTGTCTCATTTTGACAATAGGGTCTTCAGGAAAAATGAAGACAGACTTGAAATGGCTGACAAAAAACAACCAACTTTAACTTAGAATCACCTATTTTGTTTTATCCACATCAAGCCAAGAAACTGAACCAGGTAAAATCCAGCCTCATCTCTCATAACTGACCGTGTGCTTTACCCCTTCAGGGCCCTAGACTCCAGCTTCTCTGGCTCAGGAGTGCCCAGTCACCCATCCTCAAGCTGCAGAGTACCTGCAAGG